AAATGGGCACCTAGCTGAATACCAGAGCTGGGACAAAGTACCTTCTCCCAGGTTCATGGGGTTCTATCGTGTTATCAGTTTAAGAGGAAAGCTCCCTGCAAGTGGCCACATTTTACCTGACCACTGTTTCTGACTCCATTGCAATACTGGGTCTCCTGTAGCATGCAGGAAATGTCAGGAAACTGGTCCTTGAGTTCAGCTGCCTTGTTACGTGACTGAATGAAGCATCTAATCAGTCCCCTTCAGCTGTTCACACAGACTGCCTTTTTACAGGGGTTATCACATTCCCTAGAGAAGCCTGGCAAAGAAAAGTCAAGTGGAGGAATCTGAGCTCCTAGCAGAGTGGTGGAAAAAATGGTCCCAGGCATCCTCCCTAAGCCTCCTGCCCAGGTTACTGCCTGCCTGCCTTCCTAAAGCACATGGATGATGGCAAGAACCTGAAGACACTGAGGTTCTGTGAGGAGAGGAAATGGTTGGGCAGGCCCATCACGTGGAAGTGTGAAGCTAAGTCGTACACTGCTCCTGTGGCATGGGAATCCTAAACCCCAATAAGTTAATGTAAAATATGATCTAGAATTGGAATCCCATAGTGTATCCTAGTAAAGACAAATTCTAAAACTCTCAGTAGATAACCCAGGGTACACAGTAAGCAGCCCCACTGAAGAGAAGCCCACATCTTACCTTCAAACCTATCATGAAAAGAAAAACTAAACACAGTAGAGCATTCCCTCTGGTTCTCAGAAGAAAACCCAATTGAACAGGTTAAGAGAAACTTAAAATATGTATAAATAGAACTGTAAGGTAAGAAGAGGTAGATCTGGAAAAGAGCCAAACAGGAGCTCACAATGGTAAAAAAAAAAAAAAATGTCACTGAATGGATTGCATAGCAAGCTGCAAATGCAGAAACTAATGGATTTAAAGATATCACAGAGAAAAGAGAAAACAAGAAAGCAGTTGAAATCTCAAGGTTAAATGAGGAGGTCTCATAGGAGAAAATATAAAATTAAGGAGACAGTATAAGAATAAGATGACAACCAGGATCAAAACTTCACAGTTGAGAAACAAGCATCAAATATCATCTCATTTTGAAAGAGTAAGACCAATTCCCAACCTTGGTAAATAAAAAGGAATCCTCATTGTTATGTCTCTGTGGAACTTCATACACAGCAACAGAACAACACAAATTTTAAAAGCTACCAATGAGAAAAGGCATTTCCTTATAAAGACATAATAAAAGACTTCTCAACAAGAGAAAGAATGAATGGAATATTATCTCTAAACTGCTGAGGGAAAATAACAGTCAATCTAGAATTCTATACCCAATAAAGCTATTATCCATAATCAGTAGCAAAAATAAAGATTTCTGTGGCCCAAAACCTGGGTGAGTCTATTCCTTGTGGGCCATTGTTAAAAGAACTACTAAAAAATGCACTTCAAAAGAAGGAAATCAGAGCAGATGGCAGGAATGGAGTTCCAAAAGCCAAGAAGTTTGTATGTTGGTTTGTTTGCATAAGCATAGATCACAAATGTTAATAATGACTAGGAGAGCCTTAAAAACAAATTAAGATAGTAGGCAGTAACATGAAAGAGGAAGGAAGGTATTCTAAAACCTTTTTATTTCCCAGAGGAGGACAAAAATGTTGTATGACTTAAATATTTAAAACTTAAGCATAATTGCTAAAAGAACAACAATTACTGCATCTAAACCAGTTGAGAGAGGAAAAGGCATTAAAAGGTATCAACCTGACAAAGAAAAATAATGGAAGAAAAATAATAAACAGAAAATACAGAAAAAGCTATATATATATGTATGTGTGTGTGTGTGTGTATGTATATATTTGGATGGTGGTAAAAATAAGTTCAGATAAATCCATTTTTACCAAAGAAGAAAAAAATTCAAGACACGTGTTAATAACAATGAGATTAGGTTTTAATTAGCCATGTGCCATTAATGAAATACACTTAAAATAATATGAAATTTTAAAGTCTTACTGTGCCTTGTAGATTTTATCATATTAGTGTATGAAGGTGGCATTTGAAATGACTATGATTTCTTGCCTAAGAGACCAGGGGTGGATGTATAGTATTACCTAAGGATGCTAGACGGGGAAGTCCCACCTTGGAAGCGAAAATAAGTTAACATTTACTGACTTCCTGGGCCTACCAAGGAAATGAAGAAGGTGCATCAGAGAGAACTTGTGCCATGTGTCATGGAAGCCAAAGGCATAAGAGGAGAACGTGGAAGTGTGTAGTGGTGTGGAAGCTCCCAAAACAGGAGGATTCAAGAAGAAAAGACAGGAGATGTTAGAGAGAAAGAGGATGGTCAAGCAGTGTCTGTGCTGGAGAAAGTTTGAGCAGATTGAATACTGAGATGAAGCTTTTTGGTCAAGATGTAAGGGGCCAGATCAGTAAGCCTACTGGGAAGAGATTAAGGAAGAAAAAGGGAAGATAACAGAGGTTATCTAGTGTATGTGAGGAAGGAAAAAGGGATTTCTTCCAGGAAGTTTAGCAACTAAAGGAGGACAGAATAGATGGTAAAGAGCAATACAGGTTCATGGGAAGTTATCTTGGAATAGATACTAACCATCTTTTAAGGATAAAACCTTAATTATCCAGAGCCCTTGAGGAAAATGAGTTTCTAGGTGACCTAATGCTGACCATTCTTAAATACTCAAAGTCAACAGCAATAGCATTTTCTGGGTGGTCTCTTGCCTTGAACAATGGATGATACTCTTTTGTGACTTGAAGAAAACCATTTAGACATTGTTTAACTTTGTCTTGCTGTCTCAAATCCTTGCCCCATGACTGTAGGACCTGTTAAGGGCTATGCCTCCAGACTAGCCAGAGAGCACTCATGAGTTCTTTCACTGTTTTTTGTCATCTTTGAGTATCTTTTCCTTTCTTTCTTTTTTTATTCTTAGCCATCTTTTCTCATAACTAGCCATAATTTTCTATGTCTGGTCTGCTCATGAGCTGGGTCAAGGTGTGTTCAGCCCTCACAGATTGATCTGCTCTGTCTATTGACTCAGCCAGGTTTCTGAACTTGACAGGCTAAGGTCCAGACCCTGGTCAAACCAGGGCAATAAACTTTACCCTGACCTTGCCGGGGGCCTTTCCCTGTGTGGCTGTGTCTCAGTACACAATTTGATGTAAAACCAAGAGTATCTTGGTGTGAGCATCTGAGAGGCTCTTTCTGAGTATAGTATCTGAGGCAGAGTATGTGAATCAGGGGACATTGATTTGGCTCTTTCGCCAAAGGCCTCTGAGTCTTTTCTGTTTATTAACCCATTTCAGCAGGAGACCCCTCAGAGAGGACTAACTGGCTGAATCTTCCCTCAAATGTAACTTAGAGATTTCTCTATCAAAACTGGTGATTTTCCCAATACAGATAGAAAAAGAGGGTGTCTCTCCCGCCCACCTACCACCCATGCCCTAAAAGGAAAGGCATTTATTTTGTATTAACTAAAACGGCTGCTTCTCTGCCACCTGTAGTGTATGCTACACTGCTGTCTGCTACCTGGGCTATACGAGTAGACCTGGGAGCTTAACAATCCTGAGATCATTTGCTACAGACCTTGGTCCAAATAATAAAACAGTGGGGCTAGGTGTAGGTATCTTTTACCATGAGAGACATTAAATCCATCAGGGTATTCTGAATTTCATAACTCTGAGCTCTGAAGGCAAGGTGGAGACATTCCAGGTAGGGCAAGGCCACTAGTAATATCAGAGTAGTTTGTTATTGAAAATCCACAGGCTGGCTTCCAAGAGGCCTTCCTGATAGGGTGACATTTATTATCTTGGTGATTTACCAGAGTCCAGCTTTTAGCTTTTCAGGTCAGAAACTGTTTTAATCAACATACAAAGAGCAGATACATTATCAGAGCTGGCCTCACCTTAACCAAGCTTATAAGACTGATCTGCAAATCAAAATGCCACTTGACATTTATATGGAGAAACACGACTGATATCTTAAAATACAAATGACTAGCTCCTTCTTTCCTTGTAGGCAGGCTTACACAGGGAGGCAGATCATAATCAGATCATTATTTGGTGAACATGAAATCAAAATAAAGGTGAATCATGTTTAATGGTATAGGCTAAGAGAGTAATAAATGCAGTCCTACCAGTGGAGCTCAATTTCTTTGGAGTCTGTCAGCTAAGATTCTCCCTGCCCTAATCTGAACTTGGATAGATGCCTGCCAATATACTGTCTCATTTTCTTATGCCTCAAGGCTAACCCAAATCACCCAAATCAAGTCACCCAAACACCTCCCCCATTAAGTCTTTCCCTAGGTGTTCTTACTTCCCATCAGCTTACAGTATAGCCATTCTTTTTCCTTAAGTCTATAGTTTAAATCTCCATGAGCAATCTTTTTTCAAATTCTTGGAGTAAGCTCTCACTGCGTTTTTAATTGGGCAGCAGGAGGAGGAGGTGGCACTGGAAAGGGTGGGTGGAGCTGCTCGTCCAAGGTTTATCGGTCATTTATCAAAACAACTTCCACATTTTTACTCTATTCCTAGGCTACGTGTACTACTATTAGTATTTTTCTTTAAGTCAACTTTTTAAAAACAAATGTATTTTAAAAGATTTATCCCAACCGTAAGTGAGGAATGTGGCCCTAAAAATAAACATAGTGTAAACAAAAGCTCTTATTTTTCCCATGTACTTTTTTAGCTAGACACAGCCATGTAAAGCTCTGAGTCTGAGCAGGTTCCTGTTACAGTCAGACCAAACTGAGACTCTTTCCCTGACATCATTAAAAACATCAAAAGAGGAAGAGCAATGGAACAATGTAGGAGGTTATCTAATGTATGTGGGACCTTGTCCATCATCACCTAAGAAAAAATCTCATATTAGGCATCCCACATTTTGGGAAAAGATGATCTAGGCTTTTGAGATAAGACTATTTGAAAGCTATTTACATGGCGGTAGTGATGCCTCCTGCCCCCGGTTCTGCCTGATGACGTGCTCACGGCCTCTCCTGCTTCTCCCCGCACAGGTACACACTGGCAGCTCAGGACCTGGTGATGCGAGCCCGCGGTGTCCTGAAAGACAGAGGATGGCGGATATCAAATGACCGGCTGGGCTCAGGAGACGACATTTCCGTATATGTCATTCCTTTGGTACATGGAAACAAACTGTCGTGAAAACGGCCCAGGGGGCTGGGAAGATGAGGGGGAGAGAGCCGGGCGCCTCTTAGCAGGGCGGGCCTGGGAGGTGCCCCTGCAGGGTTCCTCGTGACACCGCCTCCTCCCAGCCCGCGGGGAGCTGGTTGCCAGAGTCGGTGCACTTGGGGCGGACTGAGGGTTCAGTTTCCTCTTTAGTAACAGGTCTGGGTACTCAACAAGAGCCAAACAGAAAGGCCACTACTGAATGTTGTGTTCACTTTGGTTCCCTCAGTAGGCCTCCTAGGGGCTGTTGCCTGTTGGGGGCACATACATCGTATTTCTTTTCTCTGGAGTAGGAGTGGCAGCTGTTTTCAGGTGTGACGGCAGAAGACTCTTCAGCCTGTTGGGCTGCCGGGTTGTGCACGGGTGAGAAGGGCTGCGTCGGGGATCATGCCCTGAGGGTGAGCGCCCACTTTCTAGCAAGGCCTGAGATGTATTTCGGGAAGTATTCTCTGTGTGTGTCTTACTCTCTTCAGGCACTGGTGGAGCGAGGCAGGCATTGTTCTCTCTCTTGATATTCCTTGAATCTGAATTACTTCCCTTCCCTACAGTAGCCTGGGACTTCCCGCTGCTCGCTGAAGAATCTCTGTATTGAAGTCCGGGGTGGGGGCGGGGAGCCTCTGAGAGCTGTTCCCTGGCTGACAGAGTGCTGTCTCTGTTGTGTAACAATTTGTTCCTGAGTTGCATTTTCTCACCATATCAGTGTGCTTTCATGAAAATGTGGATGTTTCTTTGGACCAAGAGGTCCTCTGTTGTTTTCGAGGGTCCCAGTGTTGGGTTTGAGGTTTCTATGGGAGTCTGGGTTTTCATTTCTGGGATGGCTGGCCCTCTTTCACATGCTGTGCCATAGGGACACCAACGTAAAGCGGTGTTTAATGGAGCAGAATAGCAAATTCCCAGTATCACTCAGTTCACCATACATCATTTCAAGACCATTCCTTCACTTTGGCTCTCACTGTCCCCGAGACCACTTCAAATCACGTGTAAGTGTCAGAGTTCTGTCCAGGACAGCAGTCCTGTCCTGTTTTCTCCATCGGTGGGCAAAGCCCATTCAGAATGGCTGATTGACACAAGTAAACTTGAACTGGGTTGTCTGGTCATTCTCATGATCTGGCCCCATTCCTTCTTCACGGCATCAGCCCCAGCCACCCAGCAGCTGAGACCGCTGTACTCACTGTAGCACCACCTCTGAGTATTCGTCACGAGCAGCAGACACCAGATGCACCTGCTGCTTCCTCTGCCAGGAGGAACTACAAATACACTTTTAGAAATCACTGTTATCTCTTAGGCAGATAACAGTTCTGCACTGGGGGACCCAATGGAGCAATGTCCAGTTACCAAGTCTTCTCAGACCTCCTGCGGGATCATCATCATTTTGACAACTTTGTGTAATTAAAACATTCTTCCCATTCAGCAATGAAAAGGTCACTGGTGCGATCCCCAAACATGCTGGAGAGCCAATCCCACTTCTCATGTTTGTTTGAATCCCTTCCCTAGAAGAGAAGAGAGGAACCTTTCCTCTGGGATAATCACCTGCATTTCTGGAGTTGTAGGTACTTTCTTAGGGAAGGCCTGGAGCCTTCCTACTCAGGAAGAATTCACTCCGCAGTGTGGAAACAATGACCTGTCTGCCAGGTGAAGCACCATGGGAATTCACCCACTAGGTGTTTACCAAAATGTTGCCTGGGAAAACTGGACAACTACTTTGTCACCCTCAGCTGACAGCAGCCCTTCTCCACTAAATCTTAGCTGCCTCAGACGTCTCTGTGGGGAGATGTTTGTGGTAAACCATTTGCTTCTCTGGTAGAGTATGATGCTATGGGAAAACACGCAGCCATCCTACAACAGTGTGGTCTACTTTCCATTTCTGTCCTGACTCTCAAAGTCACATGCAAATTGGAAACTTGAGAAAGTTTGAGGACTTAGAGCCCACCTCCTTGGGAAGCTGTCCTCACGTGCAGTCATGTCTTCCCTGTGTTCCTGTTGCCTTTCATTTCCTTTTGTTTGTGGGCTTCTGTCTGGGCCCTACCGTGAGCTTCCCTAGTTTCATCTGAGCCACCTGAGTCACAGTTTGGGTGTAGATAGGTAGGTGTCGTGATAACCTTGTAATTAATTCACCAATTCATTTATTGCCAAGAACTGTCTCAGGAAAAAGTCTGGAACCCCCTTTATTCAGTGTATCCTAAAGTCTTGGGCATTTTGTCCTACTGGTTGTAGTTAGAAAGTTATCCAGGGATTCTTCTCATAAACCCCCTTGGGTGGAAAGATCTCAGCAGCACGCTGAAGCCATGTTCTGTTCGGGGATAGGAAGAAAGCTACAAATGAGGTAAATAAATCAAGTGTGGAGAAAATGACTTGTTCGTGCCTGTAGCAGATCTCCCCAGCACTGACACTGCTCTGTGAATTGAGCTTATTGGCTTTGGCCTTATTTTTCACCCAGGCACCATGTCACCCCATCCCAGAGCAGTACCTGTCTGCATAACAGATCGGCCCACAGAGCATTCCTGGGAAGGTCAAAGGCAACACAAGATCCTGCAGAACATATTTATATGTGGTTCTGAAATCTTACAGATCTGACTTTAATAGCCAAATCTGCTGGTCCAAATAGCCTCTGAGGAAGTCTTGCTTAAGAAAAACCTTTTGACTCCCTAGTCGAGTCTTCATGGTTGCCTTGGGGCAGGGAGCAGGGGCACGGGGTGGCCACCTCCTCTAATGAAAGGCTCTTTCACTTCTGCATCTTTGTTGGGTTGGTGCCTGCTCTTCAAAATAAGTGGTGACACCCTTTTCCTTAAAGAGAGTAAACGTATGCTCCCTCCACACTGTACAGCATTTTGCCGAGCAACAACCGAACCTTTGTTCTCCTAACGCCTGAAATCAGAGCAGTGCCACTGGTCAGAGGAGAGGGTGTGTTGTGGGGTGTGGGGCTTACCCAGCTGCTATTTCTTCGGGGGGAAGGTAGAGTGACTGTCAGACTAGGCTGGGTACTCAAGCCATCTAACAGAAAAAAGCTCTCCCCAAAAGTGGGAATTTGAGCTGTTTTCTATAGTACAGCTCTGGGGAATTTGGAGTGTTTGATTTTTTTAATTCCTAGCAACTTACCTCCAAGGGGCTGTGTGAAGTGTGCTGTGCTCACCCTCTTCTTACTCTTCTAAGTATTCATTTACTTCTTGGGAAGAGTAGAGCTGTAAGTGTATGCTGGTGGGCAGAGATGAGAGTCCTGTACCCAGACTGGGCCTCAGATCTCAGCCTTCGGCCAGGGTTTCCAGTTTACCAAGCACGCTAGTCTGAAACACTTGGGGAAAAAATCTACATCTTTAAAGTTGATTCTTCTCTTGATCTCACCTCCTCCTTCATCTGACAATCACCTTTATTTACAAGGCTACAAGTGGTCAGTCATTTTCATTGCACCAGTTTGAGTTTCTAACCATTCCTTAAGTAACCCAGCAGCTACACTGTTTCCAGAGTGAATGTTAAGCTTTTATGAGATTCTATTTTCAGGAAATTAGTGCTGGGACACTTAGAGGAAGCAGTAAGAGTCATTGTCTGTGAAAAGAACAAGTCGTTTGTCTGACCCTAAAGGTCACTACATCTAAGAAAACAGTAAAACAGAATCTGGCAACAGGACAGAATTTCATGTAGGGAACTTGGGTTTTTGAGGACTTAAAATTGCAGAGAAAGGTTGCAGCTTGCACACCACAGTCCACCTTACTCCATGAGCCTTCGTCGTGTGGGTGGTGCAGCTTATGTGTGGACACTGGGATCTTCCGACACTATACAGGCAGCCCGCCTGCCTCCAGTGCCAGCACCACCACGGCTCTCGTCAGCTCAGAGTGCCAGTCTGGGCCATGCTGCTCTTTCTGATCCATGAAGTGATCTGTGTAAATAGCTTCAGTTTTTCCTCTGTGTCGTAGATGAAGTTTTCTTCATGTAGCAACCAGGCAGACAGTGACCACTGAGGCCATAGATGTGCTGTTATTTTCTACGTGATGTACTTGAAGGAGAACCTTGTGTCCTCCACTCTTCCATTTCTCCATAGTACTTTGTCTGGGGAGTCCTGGGGTTACTCTCTTACTCCTGTTTTGCCTCCATTTTCTTTGTTCCCTCTGGAGACCTGGAGAGGCCCACAGTGGAGATCATTTGTAAGGAATATATTATGGTCTGGGTTTCCAAAAATATCCTATGAACAGTGAATGAGAGGAATCTGCCTGAAAATGGTCTTGGAACCATGTACCTTTATGCTTTGTGATTGTAAAATGTTGACTTTTGTAGCCCCAAAATGAAAATTGTGAGTAAAGGGGATCTGTTTTGTGTGTTTTGAAACTTAGGTGCAATGTTCCCTGGGAAAAGCTAAAGAAATGTATATGCTCAATGACATTTTAAAATAAAATATTATATATATATATATATATATATGTATATAGGATACCTTTCAAGACTTTTTTGTGTCATTTCTTTTTAATTCACTATGAAGTTTCTTTCCATCAGGTAATGGAATGCTATGAGAGCATCATGGCCTAATGTGGAGTTGTCAGCTGTGAACAGACCAAAAGAGAATCAAAAGGGAATGGAGGCCAAGGCTGTAAATCTTCACAGGGGTAGCAATAAAGGCTATCTGCATTTCAGCAATGTCTCTAGAAGAATTACCCTGGCTGTCACCCCATGAGTATTTGTTTTTTTTTTTAATTGAGGTAAAATTGGCATATAAGTTTCAGGGGTGTGACAATGATTCCGTATTTGTATATATTGCAAAATGATCACAATAACTCTAAAATCCATCACATACAGTTCATTTTTTTCTTGTGAGAAGAAAAAGATTTACTCTTAGCAACTTTCAGATACGCAATACAATATTATTAACTATATTTATTCACCATGCTGTATATTATTTATTTTATAATTGGAAATATATACCTTTTGACCTTCACTCTTCATCTCTTACAGCCACTATGTCTCTGTTTCTATGAATTCATTTAAAATGTTAATTTGTTTAGATTCCACATATAAGTGAGATGATACAGTATTTGTATTCCTCTGACTTATTTTACTTAGCATAATGCCCTCAAGATCTATCCATGTTGCAGCAAATGGTAAGATTTCATTTGTTTTTATGCCTAAAGAATATTCCACTGTGTGTGTGTGTGTGTGTGTGTGTATATATATATATATTTCCTGTATCCATTCTTCTGTCAGTGGACACTTGGGTTGTTTCCATATCTTGGCTATTGTAAATAATGCTGCAATGACCGCAAAGGCACATGTATCTTTTTGAGTTAGTATTTGTGTTTTCTTCAGATAAATACCCAGAAGTGGAATTGCTGGATCATATGGTAGTTCCAATTTTAATATTTAATATTTCTCAATGTTCTCATCCATTGATCTATGTCTGTTTTTATGTCAATAATATTAACTGTTTTGATCACTATAGTTTGTAATATAGTTTGAAATCAGGAAGTGTGATGCCTCTCCAGCTTTGTTATTTTTTCTCAAAATTGCTTTGGCCATTTGGGGTTTTTTGTGATTCCATAAAAGTTTAGGATTGTTTGTTCAATTTCTGTGAAAAATGCCATTGGAATTTTGATAGGGATTGTAATAAATCTGTAGATTGCTTTAGGTCATATGTACATTTTAACAATATTCTTCCAATTCTTGAGCACAGACTATCTTTCCATTTATTTGTATTTCTCCAATTTCTTTTATCAGCGTCTTACAGTATTCAGTGTACAGGTCTTTTACATCCTTGGTTAGATTTATACCTAGGAATATTACTATTTTTGATCCAATTATAAATGGGATTTTCTTAATTTCTCTTTCTAACAGTTCCATTATTGGTGTATAGAAATGCAACAGATTTCCATATATTGATTTTGTATCCTGCAACTTTACTAAAGTCATTTATTTTTAACAGTTTTTTAGTGGAGTCTTTAGGGCTTTTTATAAAGCCTTTTCATAATATCAAATCATCTGAAAATAGTGAGTTGTACTTCCTTTCCAGTTTGGATGCCTTTTATTTTCTTTTCTTGCCTAACTGCTCTGACTGGGATTTCAAATACTATGTTGATAGAAGTGGCAAGAGTAAGGATCCTTGTCTTATTCACAGTCTTAGAGGAAAAGCTTTGAGCTTTTCATCATTGAGTATGATGTTAGCTGTGGGCTTATCATATATGACCTTTATTATGTTGAGAGTTTTTGTCATAAATGGATGTTGAATTTTTCTCAAATGTGTTTTCTGCATCTGTTATGATGATTAAATGATTTTTATCCTCCATTTTGTTTATGTATTGTATTATAATATAATACATTGATTGATTTGTGGCTGCTGATCCATTCTTGCATCCCAGGAATAAATACCACTTGATCTCCATGCATGATCTTTTTAATGTATTGTTTAATTCAGTTTGCTACTATTTTTTTGAGGATTTTTGCATCTATGTTCATCAGGGATATTGGTTTGTGACTTCCTTTACTTGTGTCCTTGTCTGCTTTTTGTGTCAGGGTAATGCTGGCTTTGTAAAATGAATTTGAAAGTGTTTCCTCCTATTTTGGGGGAAGAGTTTGACATGGATTCTTACTAATTTTTCTTCAACCATTTGGTAGAATTCACCACTGAAACCATCTGGTCATGCACTTGTTTGTTGCAGAGTTTTTGATTCCTGATTGAGTCTCCGTACTAGTAATCATTCTGTTTGGATTTCCTGTTCCTTCATGATTCAATCTTGGAAGCTGGTATATTCCTAGAAATACTGAAATTTCTAGAAATGTTTTATAGGTTGTCCAATTTGTTGGCACATAATTTTTTGTAGTGGTATATTATGTTCCTTCGTATTTCTGTGGTATCATTTGTAACATCTTTTTCATTTCTGATTTTACCCGAATTCATTTTTTTTTTGGTGAGTTTAGCTAAAGGGTTTTCAATTTTGCATATACTTTCAGAGAACCAATTGTTGGTTCCATCAATCTTTTCTATTGTTATTTTTTAGTCTATTTTATTCATTTCTGCTCTGGTCTTTGCTATTTCCTTCATTCTACTAACTTTAGGTTTCATTTGTTCATTTTCTTATTTCTTGAGGCATAAGATGGGTCATTTGAGATTCTTCTTATTTCTGGAGGTAGGCATGTATCACTATGAACTTTCCTCTTATAACTGCTTTTGCTGCATTTCACAGATTTTGTATGTTGTATTTCCATTTTCATTTGTCTCAAGGTATTTTTTTCTCTTTTGATTTCTTTATGCACCTGTTGGATGTTCAGCAGCAATGTTGTTTAATCTACACATATTTGTGAATGTTCTTTTTGTAACTTATTTCTTGTTTCCTACTGTTGTGGTTAGAAAATTTGTTTGATATTGTTTGTCTTCTTGAATTTGTTAAAACTTGTTTTGTGGATCCATACTGGATAATGTCACATGTGCACTTGAGAAGAATGTGTATTCTGCTTTTGGATGAAATTTCTGCATATGTGTTAATTCCATCTGTTCTTACTTGTCACTTAAAGTCAATGTTTCCCTATTGATTTTCTGTCTGGATGAATTATCCATTGATGTAAGTGGGGTATTAAAGTCCCCTACTATTATATTATTGTATTGTCCCTTTAGGTCTGCTAATATATGCTTTATATATTTAGGTGCTCCTTCCTATGTTGGGTGCATAAATTTTTACAATTGTTTTTCTCTTGTTGGATTAACCCGATTATCCCAAGAATATTCTTAAGTGAGAAGGCTAGTGTCTGTTATCCTTGCTGAAGATAGTTAAGAGTCAAGGCTCTCCTTAGCCACTTACACACTTTAAGTACTCACAAAGTATTAGTAAAATGTACCATCTTATAGAGAAAAGTTAACAGGTGGGATGAGACATCAAAGAATGCTAATTCTGCTTTGTTCTAGAGTCCAGGAAGTTAAAAATAATCTAGAAATATCACAGGTTAAAAGAAAGTATTGATTTATAAAAGGAAGCTAAAACTAGGCTGTTGTTTATCTGAAGCTTAGTCTGAAAGAACAGGCTAGATAGAGAACACCACTATTGGAATTCTGTTGCAAAACCTCCTCAGCTCTTTCCACCTTCCCTTGTACCCTAGTGCTTGTGATGCCTCCGCCTTCCCACTTAACAGCAGAAACTCATGAAGAGTCAGTCCTTGGATTAGGTACCTGAAGACTGAAACATTTCTCTGTGGAAGATGGAGTCATCTAGCATTCTCTTATGAACAGTGCTTAGCTTATCAGATTAGCTCTTGAAAATTGTGGTTGACTGTCTCAAGCATGGTTGCCAACAATGTCTCCCACATTGTTCCCAAGTGATCCTTTTTCCATTAAGAGAGTGGCATTTGTTTCTCCACCCCTGTATCTGGTCTAGCTTGTGACTTGCTTTGATAGAATGCAGAAGTGACATTCTGAGAATTCCATGCCTAGGTCTCTAGTAGAGTTGTAGCCCCTACTTTTACTCTTGGAAGCCAGCCACCCTACAATTGTCAGACTAGATTACCTAGTGAGGAGAGGCCACCAGAGAGAGAACCAAAGTGCCTGGACTTTGGAAGGGAAGCTGTCTTTCATCCTCAGGCCTCACCTGAGTCACTCCAGGTGATACCATAGAAGAAAGGGGTCCAGACAGCTCTCAGCTGTTCAGGCCATCCACAATGAGCCTTGTCCAAATTCATGACCCACAGAAATTGGTGTGAATAAAGTGGTTTTTGTTTTAAACCACTAAGATTTGAGTATTTTTTTTAGATAGTGATAGACAACCGAAATGAGGTATGGGGAATCTGGCTCTGGGGGACTTGGGGATAAAGTGGTTAAATATGTAAATTAAGAAGAAAATGGCATTGAGAAAGCACATTTGTAACCTGGGAAATAATCCCCCATAGGGAACCTTATCGAGTGCCTGAAATGGGGAGACCAACTTAGAGCAGCAATGCAGACACTAACGATGGCTGAGTTGGCATCTCAACAAGAATTCTCGTATCTTTTGCTTCTCCATGGAACTTATTGTGAGCATTAGGAAGCCAGGAAAATGATGACTACTGGGGCTGGGGCTGTGAGCCTAGAAGGGACGAGCAGGTATTTAACCCCTTACCTTTCTATAAGACCATCCTTTGTTGTACCACTAAAGGCCCTTGGGAGAGTCAAATGATTCTCTGGCTTCCAAGTCCAATGCTTGTGATTGTTAGGTTACGTCTGAGGGGGAAAAAAGGGGGCAGTTTTTAAATAGTATATTCATGTGTGTGTGTGTATATATATATATATATTTTTTTATTCATACAATATACTTCAAACTCACTGCCACCTGTTTTTTTTACTTCAATTAAATGACAAACCAGAGTTATGTATCCTAGGGATTAGTCTGCTTTCTTCAACTGTGTTTTCTATCACTAGAGGCCTGGAAAGACTGCTGCTTTTTCAGTACATCTCTATATTTTTAGTCCCTTGTCTCTCACTTATGATGAGAT